TATATATATAACTAGTAGGACATTCTTAAAGTTTCAAGTATTCTTACAATTTCTTACAACAACAACAACATCAAGCCTTTATCCCACTACGTGGGGTCGGCTATATGAATCCTTTTTCTCCATTGTGTCCTATTAAAAGTCAAATTCTCGTTTAAATCTAATAAAGAAAGGTCATTCCTAATATTTTTTAACCAAGTCTTTTTAGGTCTACCCCTACCTTTCTTAACATAAGTCAAATCTAATACCTCTACTCTCTTAACTGGGTCGTCGGAAGGCCGCCTTTTTATGTGACCAAACCATCTAAGGCGACTCTCTCTAATCTTATCTTCTACTGGAGCTACTCCAACCTTTTCACGTATATGCTCATTTCGTATCTTATCTCTAAGGGTAAAGCCACTCATCCACCTGAGCATCTTCATCTCTGCCACACTTAACTTAGTATTATGCTTCTCTTTTAATGGCCAACATTCGGCACCATAAAGCATTGCAGGCCTCACTACCATCTTATAGAATTTTCCCTTAAGTTTGAGGGGTACATTTCTATCACATAACAAGCCCGATGCATTCCTCCACTTCAACCATCCAACTTGAATTTTGCTGATAATATCCCCATCTATTTCACCATCACTCTGAACAATAGATCCAAGATATCTAAAACGTGTACTCTTATTAATGACTTGATCGCCCAAAGTCACAATCCCCTCACTAGGTCTATTACTACTAAAATTACACTCCATATATTCTGTTTTAGATCTACTCAAGCGAAAACCTTTAGGCTCTAATGTTGACCTCCATAATTCAAGTTTACCTTCAACTCCCTCTCTAGTCTTATCAACAAGAAGAATATCATCAGCAAAAAGCATACACCAAGGTACATCCTCTTGCAAATGTCTAGTGAGAACATCCATGACTAAAGTAAAAAGATATGGGCTTAAGGCTGATCCTTGATGTAACCCAACCGAAATAGGGAAATACTTGGTCAATCCACCTTGTGTTTGAACACAAGTAATAGCTCCTGCATACATATCTTTAATGATTTGAATATAGGCATTATTGACTCCTTTCTTTTCAAGAACTCTCCATAGCACTTCTCTTGGAACTTTATCATATGCTTTTTCTAAATCAATATCATATGTAGATCCTCCTTATTTACTCTATATTTCTCCATCAAACCTCTTAATAAATGTATGGCTTCCATAGTCGACCTACCCTGCATGAATCCAAATTGATTTTGAGAAACATTAGTATCACGCTGCAACCTATGCTCCATAACTCGCTCCCATAGTTTTAAAGTATGACACATTAACTTAATACCTCTATAATTCGCACAATCTTGTCCACCACCTTTATTCTTAAAAATAGGAATTAACACACTCATTCTCCACTCATCTGACATCTTTTTAGTCTTCAAAATAGTATTAAAAAGTTTTAAAAAAGCCAAGAAATTCCTTCATCTCCTAAGCATTTCCACACCTCTATTGCTTAAAGTATCAACAAACTAATATAAATTAAAATCATTCTATAAGATTTAAAAATCATATGGGAAGAGTCTATGACTGATAACCAGCATTCCTCACAATCCTATATAGCATGATCAACCAAATATATGAGAGTGGATAGATACTTCATTAAAAAATTAGGAAGTGGATTGATTTGGACTCCATATGTCCCAAGTACAAGATAACTTTGCCAATATTCACCAAAAGACTCAGCAACCCCATATTCAAGAATATTGTAAGCAAATTTGAAATAAAAGATCTCTATCATCCAATTCAAAAGGAAATGTTGAAGAGAAATCAGAACAAGAGGGATCAGCAGGAGTGCTAGTTAAGGAAAGTTAGAGGACACAATCATTGCTTACAAGAAATACCTCTCTAATTAATTTGTAAATAAGGAAAAAAATAAAGAGAGCAAGAATTGCAGATAGGGGATGATTTTTTTTTTCTGTAATTAATTTTTTTTCTTCTGTCACTTTGTATATAAATACTTAGTGAAAGAAACTCATTGATGGAATGAACAATCTAGGCTTTCATAGCCAATTCTTCTTATCTACGAAAGACATTCAGAACAAATGTTTGGTTTGCTAAGTGGCATGAACAGTAATATATTTATCCAGTTGATAACATAGTGTGCACGCAATGCAAATCTCCATGTAAAGAGAGGATAGTACACAAAATGTCACGTTTTGCATCAAAAGTCTATAAATCCTCGCATAGTAATGTAGATTGGGAACTATAGAGATAACTCAGATGCTAAGTTAGAGGTTAAAAAATGATGCCACGCACAAATCGATACATTTTAATCACATACTTTCAAAATAAGAATAGATTAATGAGAGACAAAAAGATGTTTTTTTTATTTCAAATTTTTAATTTGAAAAATTGGCGCTTCAATCTTCTTTTCTTTTATATTTTTCTTAGGAAAAAGCCCAAGATGGTCCATCCAACTATTCGTATAAGGCCAATTTAACCCCAAAGTATTATATTACTCCAATTCGTCTATATTGACTATACAAAATTAATCCAAAATGACCGCTCACATAAAAATAGATAGAAATTGGGCAACAAAATTGATTCCAATTTAGTACTTGATGGATCATTTGAGATCAATTTTGTATAATCCATGGAATAAGAGAAATATAATATTTTTAGACTAAATTGGCCATATAGAAATTATCAGGGGATTGTTTGGATTTCTCACATATTTCTTTTATTAGCTGAAGAATAAAAAAAAAACCCATCAAAGGATCATAGTAATGCTTATTTTAAAGTAATGTAGAAATATTTTATTTCATTAATTGTTCAGATAAGGTGGCACATTAACAACTTAAGCACCTGTGAGGAGAATATAGTTTACAAACAAAATACACGTAGAATGAAAATAACACTTTATAATGAGTAGTCAACCTATGACGTTGAATGCTTGAGCCTCAACGTTGGCCATTTGTATTCTGACGTAAAATGTTGACAGGTTTTTTAACCATACACGAAACTATATATGAACAGATGACAATTTTTTAAACTTAAAAAATTTGCTTGGCAGTTTAGCAGAATGATCATTAAAAAAATTTCTTTATGAACAAGAAGAAGCATTCACATCCCTACAGAGGAAACATATTCAATCATCGAATTACATAGCAATAATGAAAAAAAATCAGTAAAATGTAATATTCCGAAATTTACAACTAACCAAATTCCAGTGTGAACATCACGGTGATTTGGATGGCCTGACACTCCGTAGTTATCAAATGTAATTACCTAAGAGAGAAAAACAAGGCAAGTTATTAGCAAAAATTTTCTTATGATTGAAGATACAGAAAATGAAAGACAGAAATAGAAAGAAAGAATATAATTCTAATGATTGAATAGCAAACATATAAGTAACAAGAAAGTAAATATCAAAATGATAATAGTTGGTTGCTTGGGAATGAATACACTGTTTTAAAAACTAGGAGCTATTTAGTTGCCAGCATTCGGAGTGCATGTATTTTGAGAATGTTGTATCAGACACCAAAAAAATAAATCCCACGGAAATTTTTTACTTTACACTCTGATGGACCGGCTGAGCTAGTGGGCCCCACTAGTGTGGGCGACGAGAAAGGAGAGAGGGGGCTCAAAGGGGATTAATTCTACCTTTAATTATTTATCATAAAAAATCAAAATTGAAAGGGAATTAGGAAGGTTTATTTAGGGTAAGAGGGTGGAGAATTAGGAAGGTTTAGTTAGGAAAAGATTGCTGATTTGAATTTAGATTTGAGAGGGAATTAGGAATATTTATTTAAGTTTAATTAGGTTGTTTTATTTTCATTATGTAATTTGATATTTTGTTGTAGTTTTCTTTGGAGTTGTTCCTAGCAGCACCTCGGATTTGTGGAGAGTAGATCTACCTCTTGAATAGTAGATCAACTTGTATCTTAGTTTATTGTGTCGATATCTCATTCTTTCTCGCTGATTTCTGTTGTGTTTTCTCTTCTTTATTGTTGTTTTCTCTGTGTGGAGATCGGATTCCTACCCAATTGATATCAAAGCACCTTTTTTTGGGACCTATGGCGGCTAAAAAGATTGATGCGTTGGAGGAGAAACTTGAAGGGAAAGTTGGAAATATTAAATTTGAATTCGGAGAGCGAATTTTAGCAATTGAGGTCAGATTTTCAAATCTAGAAGAGATGATGAAAAGGATGTTAAAGTTTCAGGCCAAAATGGTATCATCAGAGGCAAGAAATAAAAAAGTAGAGAGGAGTTGAGAAATTTGCAAAGAGGTGATCCTCATACTTCTAGAGGTTCAGATATGAAAGGCTTTCTGCTATTAGATTTGGGTAGCATAGATGTGATACTGGGGATGAAGTGGTTGCAGAAGTTGAAGACCAAAATTGATTGGAAGGCTCTAATGATGGAGTTCAAGGTTGAGGGGAGGAAAGTGATTATTATGAGGGATCCTAGCCTATCAAAAACTATGATTTTACTCAAAACTATGGTGAGGAGCTGTATAGTTCATAAGGAGAAGAGGATGGAGAGAAGATAGAAGCACCAGACATGGTTCAACCACTCCTACAGTAGTATCAAGAGGTGTTCCAACCAGTTCAAGAGTTGCCTCCTCTGCAGGAATACAAGCATGCTATCATCTTGAAGGAGTCTCACCAATCAGTATTCGTATGTACCATTATCCCCAAATCCAGAAGGATGAGATTGATAGATTGATCAGTGATATGCTAGGGCAGGGATCATTTGACCCAATGTCAATCTATTTTCCAATCCAGTGCTATTAGTGAAAAAGAAAGATGACAGTTTAAAGTTTTGCAAAGTATACCAAGCTTTCAACAAGGAGACTGCATCAAACAAGTTTTATATTCCAGTGATTGATGAGTTGTTCGATGAGTTTTATGTAGCGGTGCTTTTCTCGAAGATTGATTTGAAATCAGAGTACCATCAGATCCGGATAAGACCCGAGGATGTTCCCAAGATGGCATTTAAGACTCACGAGGGACACTCAGAGTTTTTAGTGATGCCTTTTAGCCTTACTAATGCTCCAGCTACTTTTCAGTCCATGATGAACAAGGTATTCCAGCCATATGTGTGGAGGTTTGTGTTAGTCTTATTTGATGATCTTTTGATTGACAGCAGGACTAGATAGGAGTACTTAGAACACTTAAGATTGGTGTTATCCACTTTGCAGAACCACCACTTGTTTGCCAATCTAAAGAAATGCTCGTTCGTCCAGCCTAGAGTGGAGTATTTGGGGCATATGGTATCACAGAAAGGAGTAGCAACTAACCAGAGCAAAATCGAGGTCATGCTAAGATGGCCAATACCCAAGAGCTTGAGGGAGTTGAGAGGGTTCTTAGAGCTTACATGCTACTATAAAAGTTGGTGAAGGGATACAGTTCAATACCCTGGCCTTTAACCGAACAACTAAAGAATGATAATTTCAATTGGGGTGAAGCAACTATCAAGTCCTTTGAGGAGTTGAAGAAGGCGATGACCAGCATGCCAGTGTTAGCCCAGCCCAAATTAAGCAAGCCTTTTGTGCTAGAGACGAATGTTCATGGTATGGGCTAGGAGCTGTACTAAGGCAGAACTAGAGACCAGTGGCTTATTTCAGTTGGGTGTTGACTGTCAGGGTAAAGGTCAAGTCAGTCTATGAGGGGGAGCTTAGTTTTCTTTGGAGCTGTTATATATATAGATAAAGGTTGATGTTCAACATTATTGCATTTATAGGAGAATCAAAGACATAAGATACATTTAAGCTATAGAAGAGCACAATGAAACATAAACTTAAAAAAAATCACATTATAAATTAAAAAACAGTTCGGTTTACGCTCTGGAGTTATGAAAGTTAAATACGTACACAAAATATCATTTGTTTCCAGTGCAAAAATATCCATAATCGTCAACAAGATTAAAATAATAACGCATGTCAGAGATAAACATTTCAGGTTTGAAAATATCTTACAACATCGATACACTGCTTTTTTATTTCTTCTTCAACGAAAGCTGCTAATAATTGATGATTCCATGGCTTGCCAAATCCATCCTATACATGGTGGTAAAAGACAGACAAGCTAAACCCAAATCACGCAACACTAATATAGAAAAATGAAATTACAGATTTATGATTAGAAAGAAATGCCAACCTGCAAATCCAGATGGTCAACTACTTTAATTTGTTGAAGTGGAACCTGCAAAATTTTACAAAGTTTAGAAACATCATTGAATAAAAACAATAAGTGGCCTATATTCATGAACTTTCTACTGCATTTATTTTAGCTTAGCAAATCATCACCTTAAGTGTTGCACATGCCCGGTAAAGTTCTTCCTTGCGTATATTTCCTTTGCCTTCTGAATTACCTAGAGAAGTTTGATGCACGCACCTTAGAGAGTAACTAGATATCAAAAAGTAGATTCTCAAGTCTGCAAAATAAGTTTCTGGTCTCTCTAATTCATGTGTTGGATTAACACCAGTATTATAGAGGAAAATCATTATTTCGGATGCAAAAAAAAAACCCAATACTTTTAGATTTATCAGAGTTTTAAGACTAAATGTTTAATGCAAACATACCTTACCATTAGATATACACAAAATATAAAGATTATGTCCATTTGAAGTCAAATAGAGAATGGTTGGAGCAAAGAACCTGCATTAAAGCACTTAATGATTTTACTAAAATATTAACACATCCCACAAAAAAAAAGAAAATAGAATCTCTCACTTGAAGCATTTTACAACGAAAAGAACATTTTTAATCATATAATTTGATAACTAAAATGGCTGAGTCTGAAATATGTCTATTTCTTAAGAACTCCACAATTTACATCCTCTTGCAAAAACTGTCCAAGAAAATGTACCAATGACAGCTCAACAAGCTAATAAAAAACACAATAGAGAGCCAGCAAGTTAAATATATTTATTTATACGCAAAACTAATCTTTTAAAATGCTTGAGAAAAAATTATTTATTTTTACTTACCCAAGAGACAAGCAATGATTTGTTTGTGCTCTTTGGAATGGCAATAGCACAAAACATTGTGCTAGAAGTGGAACCAGCACATGCGGGCTTTAATGATAAATACTTTCTTTTACTACTTGCAAGGCATACAACAACATTGTGTTTAGAGATACATGTTTCAAAAACTTTACGGCTACCATTAGCTGCTCATGGGCTTGGATTACACTATAGAACCACATATACATATTTACCATTTCATAACATGATAGCAATATTAGTAAAGATGCCCCTTAAAGTTATTATGCTTTGTGAGATTTTAAACTTTTCAGCATAAAGGAAACAACCGTGTTCCTCCCTCCGTATTCCCATTCACTTATGTGTATGTTCAAGAAGGTACATACTCATTACTACTTGCAAGGTGCACCTCAACATTGTTTATAGATATATGTTTCAAAAACTTTATGACTAAAGTTGGTACTCATTGGCTTCTATTACATTATTGAACCATATAGATCATAATCGTTTCAAAATAGAACCACCCACTTCTGAATCAAATCTATACAGCTATCATAAATGTGTCTTGTAATTCTACTAAAATTAAATATTGATCCTTAAATTCAACAAAAAAAATCCTAACACTTTAAAATTTGCCATAATGATTTGTCGATTACATTAACAATAAGAAGCCTATTTTTAATAAGGTTGGCTACATTATGACATCCATGATTGCTAAAATCATCCTTTTCTAAAAGCCATCGTAAGAAGATCCCGTCTCTATGATTGAATCTTTCTATTCGCATAGGAACGTTTGAGTTTTAGATTAATACCACTAGGTCATCTTGTTTTGTCTTGTGGTGAGTTTAGTTTTTATTTTTGCCATGATAATGGCAAATAGAGACATAAAACAAGTTTTGTTATCCTCCTAACTAACTATTTATATGTTTATCTTTAGTTGTCCTTATGTTATTAATAACCTCATCAATTAAAATAACAAAGTGTTATATTTATCATGTGAAGCTAGCATTCATTTTTTCTAGCAGCATCATTCTAAAAATGCAAAAAAAATTATTACTTAATTATTTCTTCTTATTGTTTTTTGCTTGTTCTCTAATAATGGTGTTTTGATGAAGTATAATATTAGAAATAGTTTGTAATAGTTTAGTTATCTACGGATGCACAATGCTGACTCTCTTTTTTAATTGATTTTTGAAGGCTACCAGTTTGAAAAACCAATAAATGTTATATGACTAAAATGATAGTTGTATGATTTCTGACTTCATATTGACATAATATAATTGATGCGGACATCGATCAGAGGTTCAAGCATGTGTATCGCCGGAGATAGCGCAGATCTACGGCCACGATTCAGAGTTTATATTTCTAGATATTTATGCATTTTCTTCTTTTATTTCTTGGAGTTTCCTATTGTACCCTTAGTATGAGCTGAGTCATGATTGTAGCCCTGAGGGCAATTTAGTCTTTGTGTTTTTCTTTTATGTTGGGACCTATATATAGGTCATTCTAGTTGTATTGGAACTAATGAATATTGGAATGAAAATTTGTGTTTTGTTTCTACTTCTTCTTGCATGAGAGCTTGAGAAGGGAGAGAGCTCAAGGGGAGCAATTCGCAAGGCCCACCAGTCGTTGGAAGAGTCCGCGGCTCGTGGTTAAAATTTTTCTATCTTCTCGTTCGTGTTTCCTCCATCTCCTTCCCCTCCACTACAAGAAAACCCTCCTCAACCCCCATTGCCGCCGCCCCTTGGAAACCCTCCGCCAACCACCACCTCAACCCCGGCCGGCCACCTTGCCGGCAACTTCCCCTCACCCACCCAACCCCTTCCCTACACAATCTTCAAATTTGAAATTTCAAATTTTGAATTTCGAATTCTTCTTAATCAAATCTGAAATTAATTCAGATTTTTGATTAATTCCCTAAAGCTAACCACCCAAACCTAATTCTCCTAACCCAAGCTCCCTCCTCCTTGCACCCGCCGGCCTCACCTTCTCCCCTAGAGAAGCCGCCGGCCCCTTCCCCATCCTCCTCCACCTTCTTCCAAAGCAAGGACTCTCCATTACTTTCACTTAGTTCCCCTCTCCTTGAAGAATTCTCCACGCCAAGCATGTATGGCGGACCCGGAGTTTGAGTGGGGATTAGTATTCAACGCCGACGGAAGCATTAATATCCTACGATCTCCGTGCTTTGACGTAGGATTTGAAGACGACGTCACCGTTGAAGAATATTTTGAGCGAGTCGTCCCGATTCTTGTGAGCATCATCGACCGACAATTCTCAAGCTACGATTGGAGCGTCGACAGTCAAGCATTCACGCCATCCTCGTCACCGTCAACCTTTCCGTGGTTCAAGGCCATTGGTGTTGCCACCGTCTTCGTGGCATCGTTGAGTTTGCTAAAGGCCTTCTCCCGCTAAGCCCGACTTGAGTGTGAGTGAGCAAGGTAACTCGTTGTGAACTTTCTAGACATTAGACGTGGGATTTTATTATTTTCCGCATTTGCTTTATTGCGATACTTTTGAGATCCATCATTAATTGTGTCTAAACAACTAGTTTGTAATTACTTACCATAACATTTCGATAACGGAAAATTTCTTGAATCTTAACCTACGATACTCTAATCTTATATTGGTAAACTTTGTGATTCGTAATGAGTTTCATGTGCAATTCTTGAACGTATCACATCAATAATTTTAAAAAAATTTACCAAATTTTTCATCAGTACGATCATTTGTTATATATAAAAATAAACTTATAAAACGGATCTCTGTATTATAAAAAATATTCATTATATAAATATATTTTAATTTTATAATATTCTATTAGTTTTTTTAATCCTAATCATGCGCATGTATAACTAAATTAGTGCAAATAATGATTGTTTCAAAATAAAACTATGGACCTTGTCCTCTCTCTGCGCCTACATTTATCCACAAATCAACCCATCTATCATTGTACTTCTATGTCAGTAATAATATAAACTTGCAAGAAAGATTACTCTCAATATATAAAAAAAAGTTTCAGTTCAACAATGATCGGCCTAGATGGAATTATAACTTGACGCAGTAAGTCCCTAGTACAACTAAGATAATAGTATAATTGGAAACACAGTTATTTCCTAACTCCTATCCAAAGTTCAAGTATGATATTTAATCTTTTGTTCTCGTATTTATTTTTCCATATCCACAATTGCAAAAGATTAGCTAATAAATCAAAGCAGAATCAATGGATGAAGGATTGGAATAAAAAAAAGGGGAATTAGGGCAGATGCTAACATGGACTCGTCGTCAGGATGAGCCACCACCAGCAGGACATTACTTCTCCCCCTGCCGTTACCAGTTCCTACCAACACCATAAACTCAAATTAAAGAAATATAAAATTAACACACACACACACAAAAAAATCCATTAAGATTAAGAATGTGCCCCTTACTGGTCGACTTGGAAGGGAACGAGGGATTGGCCTGTACCAAAGAAGAAGAAAAAACCCTCCATAAAGAAAACAGCCACAGGGTGATCACTGAAATGGCCGACAAGGTGAAGCACGTAATCATCATTTCATCCCCGCAGCCTCCAAATTGATCGCTTCTTTATTTCCGCAGATTGGAATTGACTTTAGGGGCTGTTTGGCTGCAAAATTTAACTGAGATTTAGACAACATGAAGGGGCTGTTTGGATACGGTATTTATGCAGGATTTGAACAGGATTTATGTTAAATCCTGCCAAACAGGATTTAGGGAACCGTTAAATCTCACAACGAGTCAAATCCTACGGCTGATTTACGGGATTTGGCCGAAGAAGCGGGCGAACGGACTAAGGGGGTGTTTGGTATCGGATTTATTTCGAGTTTTTAGTAGGATTTACGGTAAATCCAGCCAAACGCAAAAAAAGTCGCGGTAAATCCGGCAAATCCGTAAATCCCGGATTTGTGGATTTACGGCGTAAATCCGCTAAATCCCGGTAAATCCTAATCCCGCTAGAAGTTGGATTTACGGGATTTGGCCGAAGAAGCGCGCGAAAGGGAGAAAGTTACCTTCACAGCAAGCGAGCTACCGTCGTTGCTTCAGATCAAAATGTTGTCACGTCCGAAGAAACGACTTGTGCAATCTCTGCACACAATCGAACAGCAACGAAGGAGCCGAAGAAACGACTCGTGCAATCTCTACACACAGTCGAACAGCAACGAAGGAGCCGAAGAAACAACTCGTGCAATCTCTACACACAGTCGAACAGCAACGAAGGAGCCGAAGAAACAACTCGTGCAATCTCTACACACAGTCGAACAGCAACGAAGGAGCCGAAGAAACAACTCGTGCAATCTCTACAGACAGTCGAACAGCAACGAAGGAGCCGAAGAAACACGTGCAATCTCTACACCTGCGAAGCAACGAAGCCCAACAGCAAGAACGAACGAAGAAGAGAAGATTAAAAGCAAACCTAGACGCCTCGGCCATTACTCGTTAACTTAATTAATATAATTTAAAATA